AGTCTTGGTGATCTTGCATATTAATTTTTCTATCCTTTATGACTGTCCTGAATTTTAAATATATCTTATTACCTTCAAATTATTCCTTATTCAACTTAATCATTTTTCTCAATTAATTTGCTAGAACATCTCTTTTCTTCAGGATGTTAATAAATCAGTAGGTAACTTCATAAATGAATCTTCTCCTATGATCCTGATTAGTTAATAAAGATATATAATATACATTATTTTTCAAAGTAGTTACGATTCGAAGTTAAATCTTATTCTGGACATTTTCGCGTGCTTACGGGCACGCGAAAATAATTATATCGCCGTAATTTAGACAGTCTTTCAACACACCACTTGATTTATTAACATCCATTACTTGAAAGATAGCTCCGCTCACAACTCCATATACCTTTATTTCCCACCATTTACTTCGATCACCATAAGAACCTTATGAATTTTCAGATAGAGTCTTAGCGTGAGTTTTATTACAGTTAGTCTTTTTTGCCTAGCACCTCAGGTGATCGCCAGAAGTCTAGCAGATGTCGGAAGTTGTCGGGGTGGCCATCAGGCAGGGTAATCCTGCCCTTGTGGGCCCCGGGGCCCAGTCAGCCCTAGGCGTTCGATTCCTTGAGCGACTGCAATTTTTCCAGCTGGTCCGGCTGCAGCTCGTCCGGGATACTGGCTCTCCCACCCACCAGCATTTTTCCAGGAGCGATTTCCTCCTCCTCCTCCTCCTCCATGACCTCTTCTGTGACCTCCTCCGTCACCTCCACCACCGTTCCCCTCGACTGAGAATTTTCGTTGGTGCTGGGACCGGAAGTCGATTCCCCCTCGCTTCCGGAACTGCTGCTGATCGGGAACGGTGCCGAGTCAGCTGGAAGTTCGTCGATTGTGGACTTCTCTTCGGCCTCTTCTCCCTCTTTCTCGTCTAAGATGACGGTCGGCTCTTCTTCCTCCTTACATTCACTCTCGTTCGGATCCGAAGCTTCGAGATCGGCTTCGGAGGCTTCCGCAGATTTTGCCACGTCTTCCGGTGTCTCCTCCACCCCGGGGAAAGGATGTTCGATCTCTTCCATCGGTGTTGCGGCTGTGATAACGATCTGAGCCACTCCAAGACCGAAATCGTCTTGGCTAGCAGCAGATTTGGGATCGTCAGGTTTTTCCGTCTGCGAATCGAATGAGATTTTATTCTTGACACAATAATCTCTGTAGTTTTATCATACGAATCATGTATTTCATATCACGCTAGATTAAAAAAAAGAGAACAACCATTTCATTGCAGAAATAAAATTTAGTTTTGATATCTGAAGCAGATTTTATTATTAAATCATAAGAAACATTCGTAGCATTATACGTTTGATAAAAAATAATTGCATGCTTTTCGTAAAAATATTAAAACTAAACGTCTATTATGTCTATATATAATCTATAAATAATCTCTCACATTATACCAATTTACCTTATCACCCGATTCATCTGATACCTCCACGACTGTGCAGCAAGTCATAATGTTTCATAGATTAAAATGAATAATACCTGCTATATTTCAACTATTACCATAGTCCATTTCGAGGATTTTTAAGTTAACTTGGAAGCTCACCTAATATACCTGGCGTTTCACCCGTATCCTCATCGAACTGTGAACCATATTGCTCCTTTTGGTCTTGTGACAAATTCATCATGAACCCACTATCACCATTCACCATTGACTTTTCTTCTTGCGATTCTATAATAGATAATGATATGTAATAAATAAATGTATATATATAAATGCATATGGAAATATTCCTCTAAATAGTATATAAAAGTAATATATGTATAAGTATTCCATATACATTTAAATATATAAATATATAAAAGTATATCTAAATTAAGAAAAGTAACTGTAATTACCCTCCATTTGAGCAAGCTCCTCTAGCAAAAATTCTGGTATTTCCGGTGGGGTAAAAACTGGTGGCGCGGAACTCGGTGGCGTTACATTATCCTAAAATAATAAAAATTGTTATATCGCTTTTTTATTAAAGATTAAATTGATTATTCAATTTAGAATTTTAATTAACACAATTTGTTAATTAATATATAATTAATTTAAAATATAATTTTATATAATAATCGGCATAAAGTATTATTGCACATAGAAAAAAAAGATTAAAGTTCACAGAATATTTTGTAAATAAAATTATTTAAAGAATTTTTGTATTACAAATAAAAAATAATTTAATTAACAGAATAACTTTTTTGTTTTAAATAGATCGGAAGAGCACACGT